CTTGGGTTGATTACTTTGGTCTGTGTTATTGCTATTGATCTGGGAAGCTTGAATCGGAAACAAGCCTGGCGGGCTCTGTGGGGGGTGACGGCCACCTCCTCCAGTTCTCAGCAGGGAGCATTGCTGGGCCGCTGGGTGGCCGCTGGGCGGCCGCTGGGTGGCTGCTGGATGGCCGCTCACGAGCCAGCCCTTCCCCCGTCTCGGAGGGTCACCAGACTCTGCCCCTTGTCCCACCTGTAGCGAGGTGGGCTTGGCCCTGTGCGATCAAGGGCGTGTCAGTTTCTCAGTTTTCTCCTGGTGACACTTTAGATTCATCGGGTGACCGTGCCTTCTTGCGAGGTGGGCTTGGCCCTGTGTGACACTTTAGATTCATCGGGTGACCGTGCCTTCGGTGTGGTGAAATGTGGCATTTGTACGCTCTTGTTTTTAACAGCTGCCTGGGGTCTGGACGGTCTAGAGTTGACACCCCCACCCCTTGCTCCGTGATTGGACGCCCATCTTTTTATGACGTCTGTCCCGATTACCCCGCCCCGGGGATGGCCACTCTGCAGGCTCCCTGCGGAGAGGCCGGGCTCTGCTGGCCGACCCTGAGTGGAGGGCACCTTTCCAAGGCCAGGTCTGAGGCAGGGGCCCCTCCCCTAGCGAGCCTGGGCTCGTGAGGCCGGGGGACCCCTCGACCCTCCCCGCACACCGGTCCTCACGCTCCTGCCCTCTGACCCTCCTGGGTCATCCTGGGTCATCAGGCCTGGCCGCTGACTGCTGAGGGTGGGGTCCCTGCCCACAGCCTGGTAATGAATACGCGGTGAGGGAACCTCTGGTCACCCAGCCTCCGGGCGCCGGGTCCCGAGGAAGCTTGTCCCCCTTCGTGTGTCCCCCCGGGGTTTGCACAGGGCGAGTCCGCTGTGAGCTCAGGGACAGGCCAGCCCGCCGTGCAGCCTGGTCCTGTGCAGCCTGCTCCTGTGCGGGTCCTGCTACCTGTTTCTGCACCATTTGAGGGGCCTCTGCTCTGGGAAATAAATACTCTGACCCTTAAATAGTTCACAGGATCTTCATCGGTGGGAATAATCAATACGAAAATAAAAGTGACCGCCAGGGACGCTGTGCGATCACATTCTTTATCGACTAAAGTGGACGAAACATCTAATCTCTGGGTGGAACCGAGCGCTGCGGGCTGTGCCCTGGAGGAATAAGACCCGATGGTGGAACCGGCCGTGGACCAGCCTCAGGCGGGCAGGACGGTGGCCGGAAGTGCGGGCGAAGCCTGACCCCTGGAGTCAAACCGCGCCATGTAACAGGTGTCGAAGCAGAGGAGGGAACTTCGGTCGAAGGAAACAGCGTCCGGGACAGGGAAAAATCGGCGTCACGCAGCGGTCTCTAGAAAACTGTCCGAGGCCGTCGTGGACCGAGCAGAGCTTATCCAGCTGCTGCGTCCCGTTTCCTCCGTGTTGCTAAGGCCGTCACTGGACCGTGGGTGTTCCCGGCGCCTTGCATGGCTGGCGTGGGCGGGGTCACTCTCCTGACTGCGGGTGGGGAGGCGGGCCAGGCAGGCACCCCGGGCACCCCGACCTGCAGTGCTGGGGGACGATGAGTGTTGGCGATGGAGCCCACTCCCCACGCAGACCCTCTGCAGAGAGGACACAGCCCTCGTGGCCCGGGGTGGGGGTTGGTCCTTTATCTTCATCCCTTGCTCTGTGCCCCGCGGTGTGTGTTGGAGCCTCTGCTCCCAGCTGCCCGGGGGGACAGAGAGGGGCCGGGGGACAGAGCTGGGTTGGGAGCCTCCCCCGAGTCTCCCGTCTGCTGCTCCCCCAGTCTCCGGCACCGGCGCAGCCTGTTGTGCTACATCCTTGCCCAGCCCCTGACTTCTGTGAGGCCACCCACCAGATGGATCAAGGGCCACTCAGGAGGGGGTGTCCCAGGACTGAGCCTCCAGGAGATGGGGGGCAGTGCTGGGGCTCTGCATGGACCCCTGTGGGATGAGGAGTCAGGCTGGGGGTCTCTTCTGGGGAGTCCCCCTTTCCCCCTCTAGGCCTGGGGGTGGGTGCAGAGCGAGGGGGCGGCTCAGCGCCCTGCAGCCTCTGAGCGCCCAGGCTGCCCTTCCGTGCTCCTTCAGACGCATCGACGTGTGGCGTGTCAGTTCCTGGATGGCCTTCGGTGGCCTGTTCCGCGAGCAGCTCAGGTGTAATTTGTCCTCGTCTCTTACAGAGCGAGGTGCTGCTGGCTGAGTTCTCCAGATCTGCCGGCTTGGGGTCGGGAACCGGAAATGGAACCCACTGCCCGTGCCATCTGTGGGGACAGCAGTCAGCCACCGGGCTCGCTGGGCCCTGCTGCCAGTTCCCTGCTAAGCTGGCGCGTTGGCGCTGCGTCGGGAAGGGGGAGGGCGGCTGTTACAGACCCCTGAGCAGAAGTAGCCTCGTGGCCCCTGCCTCAGTGTGGGTCTGGGGGAAGGGGTCGGGATACACGCTCCCTCGGAGACCTCACCCCAGGTCTCCCGAGGCCTCACCAGCGCGGACAGGGGATTCCAGACCTTTCGTGGGGTCTGCGGCCTGGACACCAGCATTCGTGGACCCCGGGTGTCATCAGAGGCGCCCGGGCCACCTCTGGGGGCAGAGCCGTTTAGTGAAATCCCACCCTCTGTATTATGGCGGGAGTTCCCAGTCACTGCCCTGGGCTCCTCAGCCCTCTCCTGTGGGTTCCAGGCTCGGGGGCTGGCTCAGCCCGCCTGGAAAGCCCCCTGGAGAAGGTCGGGCGGGGCGGGTGGGCGTGTAGAGGTCTCAGTCTGGGCGCAAGAGGATGCCGCTCCCGCAGCTGCAGAGGTGAGTGAGGACAGCCCCTCCCCGGAACCGCCCTGGCGCCCTCCGCTCCGCGAAGCCTGCTGGCCCACCTCTCCGGGACCCTGGGGGCAGGGAAGCAGGAAGGCGGATGGCGAGGGCGAGGGCGAGGGCGAGGGCGAGGTCCTGCTCTGCTGTCCTGCTCTGCTGCCCTGCTCCCCCCTCCTCCGCAGCGTCTGCCCTCAGCCTTGGAGCCCATCCGGGTTCTGAGCCTGGGACTGCTCCCCTCCTCTGAGCGTGGGCCTCCTGCCTCCCCGTCCTAGGGCTCCCCCAAGGCCAGCTGGAGCTCCCCACTCCCCTGCTTGGTGCTCCCAGCTTTCCTCCCACCCTGTCGGGGCCGGCTCTGGGGGACTCCATCCCCTGGCCTGGCCCAGTGGGGGCTCCGCTCAGTGCTACCGATGAGGAGCCTGTCTTCCCGAGGGACTGGCGGTGACCCCACAACCTCCTGGGTCGGAACCCCTGGTCCCCGGGCCAGGACCCCTTCGTTGAACAGGGGGTGTTGTAGAGGCAGGTAGACAGTGTCACCTGGCTGGGCTGGGTCGTCAGGTCCACCGAGGCAGGGGGAGCCCCGCCCTGCCCTTCTCTGTGCCCATCGGCACTAGCTGGCTCCTAGTGAAGGGAAAATTAAGGCGCCTGACTTTCCCTTCCCTCCGTCAGACTCTGCGGCCTGACTTTCTGGCGGGAGGAAGTCATCGGCAGTGCTGAGAGGCAGAGGCAGGCTGTGGGGCGAAACTTCATAGAGCCCTGCTTCAGGTTGGGGCTCCTCTGGCCAGATCTCGGCGGGGCCTCCCGCACGTCCCCTCCCCCCGCCACCGCCTCGGCCTCTGTCCGGTGGTGGAGGCCTCTCCAGGGACCTGGGGGAGGCAGGGAAATACTTCCGTCTCTCATGAGTTAGAATCTACAGTGCAAGATGATGAAATTCTCTGGAGACCAGAACATTCTCATCTCATCTCCCCACGGCCCAGTGACGATGGCTTTGAACAGGCAGGATGTATGCGCGAGGCCACAGAGGGGCAGCGCCCGCCGCCCGGCTCTCGGGCCCATCTGGGGCTCTTCCTGACGGCCTGGGGCTGGTCGCCCGCTACTCTCCACGTGTGCCCTGACAAAGGGCCGCAGCGGAAATGTATTCTCCCGCTTGCCTGGGCAGAGGTCCGAAATCTGGGTGTCGCGGGAGGCCCCAGGGCCGGCTCCTTCATGCTCTTCCCGGCTCCCGGGGCCCCGGCGGTCCTTAGCTTGTGGCCGTGTTACCACCGCCGTCTCTGCCGTCCTCACTGGCCTCCTCCGTGGGGGTTCTGGGCCGCCCTAATGCAGGGTGGTTCCAACCCGACATCTTCACCTCCGTTACATCTGCAAAGACCCTTATTCAAATAGGGTCAGATTTTGAAGTTCCAGGAATGGTGACGTTGGGCGTCTTTGTTTGTTGTTTGTTTGTTTCTGGAGGTGGCGGTGCACAGTCTGACCCACTGGGCCTACTTCCTCTTTCTTCTTTCCAGACATTTTCTGGGTGTTTGGTGCGTACCGGCCCTGGGCTCCCGGTGGGGAGAGAGTGGGGTTCAGGCCCTGCGGGATGGCTGAGCTGGAGGATGGAGTGTGACGGGGCTGTGGAGACGTAGGGATTGAGGGGCGGGCGCCCCCGGGAGTGGAGAGGTCTTGGGGAGTAGGTGGCATTTTAGCTGGGCAGAGAAGGGTGGACAAGAGGTGGAGAAGGTGGACGAAGGGGAAGCCTGGCGAGAAGCCCAGGAGTGGGGCCGGCGGGGCCGCTGGAGGACGAGACGCGTGGTCGCAGCTGTGCCTCTGGCTGGGCCTGCAGCTGCCAGAGAGGACAGGCCCTGGGCCTGGCAGTCATGGCGGGCGACTCTCGAGTGTCCCTCATCCAGCCCGGGTAGAGGAGGCCCACCAGCAGCAGGGTCTCCCTGGCACCTCTGGGTTGGCCATCTCGGTCGGTGTCGCGCTGAGGAGGCTGCGCCCTCTGGGGCTCTCAGCCCCTGCGCGCCCGCCCCGGCGGCCCCTTGGTCTGCAGCTGGTGGGCCGTCCCTGGTTCTCACCACCTTGGAGCCGCTCTGCTGCCTCTCACTTCCTTTGGCAGCCTGGCCCCTCCTCCCGAATACAGCCTGGGGGAGCCCCGCGTAACAGCCTCTTCTGTGGGCGGGGAGGGGGGGCGGGACAAGGGCATGTGCCTTCCTGCTTGGTGCCCCCAGGCCTGGCACAGAGTAGGGCCTGACGAGCTGTTTGAGTGAGGGATGAATGAATGAATGAATGAATGATGAATGAAGGTGGGTGATGGGTGCCCTGGGCTTTCTGAGGCCCTCGTTGGCTCAACCATTTCCACTTGCTGGGGCCTGTCCGAAGGCTCTTGGACCGTAAATGGTCGTGTACGGTGGCCCCGCCACCATGCACCCTCTAGCCCGGAACAGAGACGTTCACTGTCATACAGATGTCACAGTGAGACTGTGACACAACCAGCATGCCCGTCAGGAGGGGGTCGGATGAGGGACGTGTGGCCCAGGCCTCAGGGACATCCCCGTACACCCAGAGCAGAGCGTGGGGGCGGGGAGCGTCTGCTGCCAGGACTCAAGAACCGTGTATTGTTCCCAGAAGTCAGTTTTGTTAAACAAACAAAAAAAAAAGTGCAGAATCAAAAAGCTGGACGGGAAAAGTAGCCCGATGGTAAGTGGGAGGTCACGCAGGTTTTATTTTATTCCGCCCTCCCCCTTATCCGAGAGAGGTCGTTTCTATATTGGGAGAAAAGGCAAGAGTTTCGTCCCCTGGAGTGACGTCCTGGACGCGTCTCCCGTTCACCCTGGACATCGCCCGCTGGCAGCTGGTGCGGGGGGAAGCCCTCGGTGCCGGTCTGGGCCCTGGTCTCGCCACCTGGTAGAGTGGTGCCGGTTATTCCAGCCCAGAGAGCAGCAGAGGGCAAGGCCTTCCTTCCAGAAAGGCCAAGGCGGGAAGACTGCTGCAGCGAGCCCTGGCCGACCGCGGGGCCCTGGGTCCCCCCACTCTCCCCAGCAGGTGAGCCCCACGTTCCCCCTCCGCCGTGAGGACCGCCCTCTGGTGCACCCTGAGCAGGTGGGGCCCAGACTGGAGCTTGGCTCCCGGGGCTCGAATACCAGCTCTGGCTCAGCTGCCCTGTGCAGAAACAGCTGGGGGTGTTTCCTGCTGCTGCCCTCCCCCTGGACGGGCTCTGTCCCCAGTCCCAGGCCCCGCCCCCCACCCCCGGGTGAGTCTGCAGCTGGGAACATTCCTGACCTGCAGTTCAGGGGACAGA